AAGTATTATGCTCTTGCCTTTTGAAATTACTGGTGGTAGGACCTCTTGTGAGTCCGCACGGGTAGGTACCACCACCCCGCCTATTTCTGCCGTGAAGCAGTAATGCGTTTCGGTTTGAAGGGTGGGGCAGCCGTTGTAACTATACTGAGACCTTAGAACTTATATTTCAAGGTGGGTGGCGCATTTACATTGTAGATGTTTATGGGCTCCAGTAACCACTTAACACCAGGTGGGCTGTGAGTTCGTCCACCCAACTAAGCAATAAAAAAAAAAAAAATGTCACAAACTACGGTATTTTACATGTAATTATTTTTAAAGTTATTCCAAAGTCGCACAAAGTATATTTTGAATGTAAGATCATTTAAAAAATTCTAAGCATAGTCGAAGGAAAGAAAATTAAATTGTTTGTTTTAGCTTAGACGGGTGTACGCGCTCACAACCCACCTGGTCTTAAGTGGTTACTGGAGCCCATAGACATCTACAACGTAAATGCCGAGTCCTGGTTTAACGCTTAAACGGAGTTAGCGTATTTTTATGTACACTAGTGGCCCCGCAGTAGTCGAAATTCGACTATAATTAATTGGAATTGTAAGCTTGTACACTATTATGATTGTATTTTATACTTCTATAATCACAAACTTCGCCTAGGCTACACTATAAAAAAATATTAATAAAGACAAACAATATTTAATCTATTCTTAATTTGACCACAGACGTCAAGAACAAAAGTTTGACAATAAATAGTATGCATGCGTGTGTGCGTCAAATACATGGTATGTAGTGTGTGTAATGTTTTCTTTATTGATTTAACGTATCTTTTATGCATTATTTAAAAAAAAAATTTAGCGTTGTGCACTTCTTCTCTGTATTCTCTATAAGTGTGGAAAATTTCATACTCCTCCGTCCGCGCAATTTTCGTAAAAAGGGATACAAAGTTTTTGCTTCACGTATTAATATATAGATATTAATATGTTTGACTCATTCCTAAAGTTTCGTTTATATTAAAACTTATACACACATCAAGGAATTCATTTGCGACGAACAAATATAAAGTAAGTCGTTCAAGATTAGCAAGCAATTGAAAACCGTGAAATGAAAGGCTCATTGAGAATTTTAATTGGATGTCGTAAACCGATAGATGGTTATGAGATTAATAATTCAATCAATCGATTTAAAATGCACTTCACTTGCGTCAAGGAATGCGGAGAATTAATAAAAATGTAACTTTAAAAAAATAAAATTATTTATTAGAATACTCAATAAAAAAATTAAGTTAATAATTTCTACCCTCGGGATTCGGGTTATTAATTTAATATAATAAAACTATTATATTATCATCGTTCCTTGATCTGGGTGTGTTCTTAAGCCAAGAATTTATAAGTTACTGAAGCCCATAGACATATACAATGTAAATGCGCCACCCAGCTTGAGATATAAGTTCTAAGGTCTCAGTATAGTTACAACGGCTACCCCACCCTTCAGACCGAAACGCATTACTGCTTCACGGCAGAAATAGACAGTGTTTTTTTTTGCTTAGATGTGTGGACGAGCTCACAGCCCACCTGGTGTTAAGTGGTTACTGGAGCCCATAGACATGTACAACGTAAATGCGCCACACACCTTGAGATATAGTTCTAAGGTCTCAGTATAGTCACAACGACTGCCCCACCCTTCAAACCGAAACGCATTACTGCTTCACTACAGAAATAGGCGGGGTGGTGGTACTTACCCGTGCGGACTAACATGAGGTCCTACCATCAGTAATTACGCAAATTATAATATTGCTGGTTTGATTTTTATTACATGATGTTATTCCTTCATGACGACTTTAACCTATTTGAATGAACACTTTTCGTATAACCTCATCCAGTCGAAGCATGAGTATACAAATGACCGGTCAAGTTCAAAGCGAGATCTTGGAGAAGGTTCCGTGTAATTATGTTTTTTGGTATGAGAATACCGAATATTTTTGTTTAGCTTTCTTAAAAAATATACTATAACTTGTTATGTAGTATGCTGATGCAAATTTAAAAACATAACTTTAACAAAATACACACGTTTTTTTTAATAAATCGATAAATGAAAATTTGAAATTTCATATCATAGGAAAAAAAATCAAGTATACAAACTATGACAATTTCAATTTTAGAAAATAGCATCAATATTCTCAAATGAATTTGTATTAAGTAATGCAAAGAAAACTATTTTATTCTTATTTTACTATGGCTGCTTCGGGAAGCTGTTGTGCAAGCTGATTAGTGTGTTTTTGAAAAGTATAAAAAAACTTATAATTAAATTTACTAAGGCTGGCTGTTGATGTCCTAATCTAACACTATTAATTAAATACTGAATTCAAATTAGTTTCTTTTTCTCCATCTTATCCCACTACGTGGGGTCGGCACAGCAAATTTTTCTCTTCCATTCTCTTCTATCAGCTGTCATCTTAACATTTACTCCTCTCTCTGTCATATCGTCATTGACACACTCCATCCATGTCTTCTGTGGTCGACCTCTTCCCCCTCTACCTTGCACTACCATTTCCATATTATATCTCCTAGTCACGTGCATCTCTTCTCTACGCATCACATGTCCAAACCACGCTAACCGTCCGCTCTTTAATATACTCCTCCGATATAGGTACTCACTCATTCTTTCATGAATTCAAGTTAGTTTAGTGAAAATTATTTTATGCTACGTACGGAACTCTAAAATTCCCAATTACGTTTTTGTGTCATGATTATTTATTTTTCGATGCGGAGCGCACGAAGAAACATTTCAAAATATATAGGTTTTTTATTTGTTATTTTCGGGTACAAAATGATTAGCACTTATCAGTCAATACAGTACGAATGACTTTGAAATGTATACGCAGTTCTTTATTCAACTAAGTAGGTACGAGAAGGGATTATATATTATTTATTTGTCGTAAGAAAAACGACTTTTGGACAGGATGAAACAAAGTTGAATTTCGATGATTTTATCGGTTAGGCTTAGTTTTGTCAAGGCTTTGACGGAGAGATGCTAATTGTGACAGACGGTCTGTTTAAACCATGTTTTAATTTAACTTTCCCTACGAGTATTAAATTTAACTAGCTACAACGCAGAAGTATGTTTTTTTTTAATCTATAACCATAAAAGAGAATGTATGTAAAAATTGATCGTCGCGGTGTAAATGATAAGACATCCGGTACATTCGTTTTTTTTTATGATTGTAAGTTTACTTGTGGCTCGAAGGCCTTTCCAGTTTCACCAGGACGGGCGGTGCATTCGTATCGAGTGATGCAACGGTGTTCGAATCCCGCAGGCAGGTATCAATTTTTCAAATAAAATACGTACTTAATGACTTTCGCAATTGACTTCCACGGTGAAGGAATAACATCGTGTAATAAAAATCATACCCGCAAAATTTTAATTTGTGTAATTACTTGTGGTGGAATCTCTTGTGAGTCCGTACGGGTAGGTACCACCACCCTTCCTATTTCAGCCGTGAAGCAGTTTGGTCGGTCTGAACATTGAGGCAGCCGTTGTAACTATACTGAAACCTCAGAACTCATATTATCTCAAGGTGGGTGGCGGCATTTACGTTGTAGATGTCTATGTGCTCCGGTAACCACTTAACACTACGTGGGCTGCCAGCTCGTCCACCCATCTATGCAATAAAAAAAAGCATGTTCACCTAAATCTATGGAACCGTTCGCTTAATTGATATGACCCTTTCCACACACATAAAGGGCCACTTGACAGCTTCGACGAGCATTGAGGTAATCAATGTCGAATAGGTGGCACTGGCGGGAATGATTTTATGTTTTAAACCATAGTTCGAATTATTATGAAATACATACTATATTTATATAAGAGCATGTGTGTGTGTATTTTTTTTATTGCCCGTGTAGGCAGACGAGCATATGGCCCACTTGATGGTGAGTGGTTACCGTCGCCTATGGACTTCAGCAATGCCAGGGGCACAGCCAAGCCGCTGCCTAACGTGTATGTCCGTAAATGTAAAGTAGATGTTCATCTAAAATTATCTTACGTAGTCAGCTTTCTGAATCGTCTTATCGTTTTTATGTTTTAATATAAAATTGCATTTTAATACGGGCAAAGCCGGGAAATGCAGGAGCAGTTAGTGAGTTGTAAAAATTTAAAATTCTATACAGTGACTGTATGTATTGCTTTCATATTACCTTGAAATCATAAAATAGTTGCTAAATTTTTAAGAATAGCGACAATCATGTGAAAAGTCCTGTATATTCAAATTCAAATAACAAATTTTACAAACCAAATAAGAAAAACAGAATCGGTAAATATAGATCGTAAATTTTATCATTTTGTAGGATTCTCGTGTTTTGTGCTTGCCACAATTATCGATTCAACAGATCTATAGCTAGCTGCTTTTGTCTCTGTTATGAACAAGGTCAATGACCGCTGACACCTGTTGAATTATAGTGAATGACCTCGAATATGGTTTTTTTTTTTTGAATACATTTTTCTATCACACGTTTAGTTGGTAGCGTTGCGGAAAAAAATTAACTTAGTTCGGCAAATCGATATATTGTTACGTAATGGGGCTCGGGATAAATAAAAATTCTAGCGAAGTATAAATTAAAACTGTTTAAAACTGTATTAGCACTTAGAACACTTAAAAGACTTCAAAAACACTTTAAAATTCTAAATTCACTTCTTCCGCTTCGCTTCGGGTGATCCGTTCGCTGTTTTGCTTCGAGTAATTGCGATTACTGACTCGCGGCACCTCTGCAACGCCATTATAGTCGAGACGACATCCCTAGATTTATCAAGAACAATCTGGGCAAGTCGAGTAGCTTCGATGTGTGTTTCTGCTATCTGACCCTAGATGGCGTTGTACTTCTCAAGCTTTCTCGATGTTACGGGTTCCTTTGATATTCGTTTCGACTATTCGGCGACAGATGGCGTTACTTTTACCAGCATAATGTACATCTTTAAGTTGTTTACGTGATATTTAAATTTCTATTCTTTTCCAGGGTCAATATGAAGCCAGGATGGTTAGCATGGGAGTGTATAGTGTTCGCTATGTTTGTGTGTTCGACTTCCTGCGCCCCGCTGTGGCGTAGGCGAAGAGATGCTGCGGCCGGTGGCAGTGCCAAGAGAGCATACATCTTCGCGGGCACCGGAGTGTCAACTTTAGCTATGATACTATCGGTGGCTAGAGGAACGCTAGGGGTTCGATCGTTTTTAGGTAAGTGACCATTACTACGGAAAAAAAACACACACACACATACACATACAAACCACACATTCAAATAACAAACATTAAAGCAACAAAACGTAAAATGAAATAATTGTAATGAACAAATTACTTTGATAGTATATGCCAAAAATAAAAAGATTTCTAAAATTATAATAACGAAAAATTAACCAGTTAGATATTCGGTGTCCAAACAGAAGCCAATAGTAGTGATTTCCGAAAAATGGCCGAATGAAAGCGGCAACACTTTAATGTGATGGTCGCAGGATATATTCTTACTGCATCATAAAGCTCTGATTCCCGTTCGGAGTCAATACCAGTTGTGGTATAAGTGTTCTTACACGTGGTTCTCCATCCATAGCTCTTGCTAGGGCCAGTGTTAGCAAGTTATTTCTGATTGAGCCCTGTGAGCTCACCTATTCGTTCACACGTAGTTAGAATAGCCCCTTCCGCCCCTTCCTCTTTGAGTCGCGTTCTTCATGTCTGAGGGTCGCGGCCATCTTCTCAGCTTCTCATTATATTTCTTCAGGTGATGATTCGCCATATTCCTTTATTCTCGGCGGTGTGCATGGCATCGTAGACCGTGGTATCCAGAGTAGTGCGGGTTTGGTCAGACCAGCGCATTGGATAGCGGCCACGAGATCTTTTACCTGCAATCTTACCAGTTACTATGAATTATTCAGGATTTTCGCCGCTCTTTCTGGCAATATGGCCAAAGAACTCAAATGTCCTCTTGAGGCAGATGGTACAGAGTCTGGTTTGGATCTTGAGCTGTTTTAATATGCAACCGTTAGTCCGATATGCTATCCATGGGACGGGTGTGGTAGCATCTTCCTCCAGCACCACATCTCGAAGGCATTAACGAGGTGGCGATCAGCTGATTTCAGAATGGCCCCTTAGGCTACCAATTATTATTTAAGAGAAAAACAAATCCGCCATAGTTAAAATACAATTCCAAGTGGGCCACGAATGTGGAAATTATTATTTATCAATTCTAAAGCGTGATGCGTAGTGAATAAACTTCCTTAAATAATCATACTCATTTTCACAAGCCAACGAATATACAATTTTAGCCACATCAAATTTCAAGTTTCAGGGACTTTTGATAAGCTACTATGTTAAATTAAAAAAACGTCAGCACTGAGAAAGTACGCAGTAACACTAAGTACGTTATTTTCGACCAACAAAATTTAATGCTCAGATATTTGTATCATTTTATAGCTCATGGACCAGTTGCAGCGAAGTAGTTATAGGAGTGTTAAGTTCATCATTGCTTCAAATGTAGGTGTTGTTAGCTTGCAAAAGTCTGTCTTTAGATTTAAATACTTAAGAAATTGGGCAATTTGAATATTCAAGGTCTCTTATCTTTGAGTTTGGAAAATCTCCAATTGATCTAGATATAAAACATTTGGTTTGATGATTTTGATGTTCCTCGATGACTTTATTAAAGTTGATCACATCTTTACGTCATCATCAGCACACGTTTGTCGATTATCGGAGCTCACCCGACTTCATCGACAAGCAGTATTACTGTCTATCTTACTACCGATTACAACAAATATCTTTTGTCCACGTTCATAACGCATGATGTATCTTTGGCGTAGCACCAAAATCGCATTTGACTATCGTCATGTTGCAGCGGTGTTGTTTTTTAAAATTCTCGTTTTGGCGACAGTTCGGATCACGCATATGGATAATGCTCATATAACTGACTATTAATGCTCTCCTTAACAAATGTGTAATAGATTGTAAATCTATCATTTTAAGTGCGAGATTCGTATAATCTAAATAGTATTTATTAGGTAATGACTTTAATGAATTTGTGACGCCAAGACCGATATTCGATACAATTCAGCTCTTATAAGCCATTTCCTGAAAATGTTTTATAACTATTTACGCAAAAAATGGTATCTGCTTTAGCCATCGTTAGTTTTTCGCGTACATGACGAAAATAATGAACCTGTATATGACATATTCCCTAAAAAGAATATAAATTGCTGAAAGAGTGAACTGTGTGATGTATTTTTTTTTTATTGCTTAGATGGGTGGACGAGCTCACAGCCCACCCGGTGTTGAGTGGTTACTGGAGCCCATAGACATAAATGCGCCACCCACCTTGAGATATAAGTTCTAAGGTCTCAAGTATAGTTACAACGGCTGCCCCACCCTTCAAACCGAAACGCATTACTGCTTCACGGCAGAAATAGGCAGGGTGGTGGTACCTACCCGCGCGGACTCACGAGAGGTCCTACCACCAGCAAAAAGTATATTTAGTTTAATAATAGATTTAAAAAAGTTTTGCGCGTGCGAGTAATTCTTTTTGGTACAAAATCTCATTATCATCCTATTACACTGGTTATGATAGTCCCTTTTCTAAATTTGGAGCTTTGAACGCAATTTGAACGCAAATTGGGACTTTGAGGTATAATTCAGAATTCTTAGTAATGTAACACCGCTATTTTATGCTTTAAACAGAGGCGAAATGGCTCGCGGCAGGATTAGGCCGAGTAGTGGTGTTCACCCCGAGCGAATTTTTAACACGTTTTAATACCAATGTTAAATATTTTAAAATTTAGCCCATTTTCTAGCGATCTTTTCCAGGATTCAAATTCAAAATCATTTATTTCAACTTAGATGTCAGTATGACACACTTGTTGAATGTCGAAATACAAATAACAATGTTAACTCCACCACCGGTTCCAAAAAAAGCCACAGTCCTGAGAAGAACCGGCGAAACAAACTCAGCGGGCTTTTTTTTTTGTTTTTTCTCAAATATTTTCTTTTTTTTAAATAAATAAAAATATTTACAATAAAGGAAAAAACAAGTCAAAAAAATACATTTAAAAAAAAAAAAAATTAAAAATGAAAAGGCCAGGAGCGAGCGCCTCATTCCCACGTAGTGCCATCTAGTAAATAATCCTTAACTTTACAATATGCCTTGTTGCACAAATCTTCCTTGACAGTTTTCTTAAATCTATGAACAGGTAGTAATTGAACGTTTAGTGGGATCTTGTTGAAAAGTTATACACCCAGATATTCTCTGTACCGTTACTCAAATTCATAAAACATACATAGTTTAGATATTTTTCATCTCGTGTTTAGTTTAAATAACAGTCGCGTCCGCTTCTGTTACAAAACAATCATGCGCTCTATTCAATATTAAATAGGATAGGATATCATCAGAGAATAACTTAATTTCAACCTTACGTCTCAAGTTGGGTAGCAGTTGTACTGTAGTGTCTCAAGGCTTCATTAATAATTAAAATCAACGAGGTCGTGAGCACGTGAGTACGAATGCCTATCAATTAAATTATTTGAAGTTCATTAAGAAACAGTTTTACGATAAAAGGGTTGTATTGAAACTTACTAGTTGGTGAATTTTAATTCGATTGATAAACTAAATAGGTCTATGAAATGTTTTTTCTAAACTGGTTTTTTTCTAAATTCGGCAAAGTGGATTTATCTAGTCTATTTAAAATTGATAGTCGAATTATGTTTTTACAAAAAAATATTGTATTTCGTGTATCCATTGTGACTAATATTTATTATTCCATTTTCATAACCTTATTATTATTTTAAAGTCTCATTGACAATACGCTTTCAATTTATTTGGTTAATGGCTAAAAAATTGTAACAATTACTAAGCGATATTTTTAAAATTAAGTTCTGTTCGAAATCATCGATTAGCGAGTGATTAAAGAAAAAAAGTTAATACGGTTCCTTAGGCACATTAATCTGTGTTTACCAAACTATAATATTTGGCATATTATAAGAATTCTTAAATTAACTCTAGTCCGGAGAATCGGGGTAATTTTTATAAGTTTAATTCTACTCATCTCTTAAGATGAAATTAAACAAGCTAAATAAGAATCACTTCCTCCCGAGAGAGTCACTTTGGCCGGTTTCGATGATAATGCACTAATCAGGATCTGAATCTAAATCCAGGATTAGTACCAAAAAGCTTTAAATCACTCGACAGCAATGCATAAAATTTGTGTATGCATTTCATTCAGGTTTGACGTGATAGATGGCCATAAAGATCGTGAGTATGAAAGTAGACGGTAATGTGAGGAGGAAATTTCCTCAAAGTCTTGGATGGTCTGCCTGAAAGTAGATATGCGAGAGAAGAGTGTGAGTGCAGAAATAAGGTATAATAGGCCTGAATGGAAAAAAGGGTATGCTGCACCGACCTCGCGTAGTAAGTTAGAGCCAAGAAGAAGAAAATTTCATGATAACCGGTTTCAAGTTTTACAATAACTGACTGCTGGTCTTGGGTCATTAGTCGAGGTCTGACTAGGGGACTTCTCAATGATTGCCAGCACAGACATAAAAAGCAATTATACGCACTAGCCTGATAACGGATAAGTATCACAATTGAAGGCTAAACTTTATAAAGGCCTTTTTAGTATATAAATAATATATATAATTTTTTATTAGGCTAGATGAGCAGATATTCTCACGTCTCATCTGGTATTCATTGGTAAAAGGATCCCGTGGATATTACAGCATAAAAATTACCCACCATAAAACATGTTGTTGAATTATAAGGGGCCGTGGTGACATAATCATCGAGGTGAATGAGGTGGTCATACAAAGCGCAAAACTAAGTAATTTACTTCAATTTCTATTCTCTTAAAGGATATTTGTGATTTGATCCAAGTTCCGCACTAGTTTTTTTTTCTTTCTGTTAAATACCAAACTTAAAATGGAATATTGAAACCATTCATTTTTCGTCATTATCCACGGCCAAAGTCCATGAAACATATGAGTTACTTTTAATAGGGAGGTTAAAACGGTGACCATTGTGGTGAATGGTGACAATACGTCAAATGCATTGAGCATGGCGTTTAAATTGTAATCATCCGCTTGGCCGTTCCCACTGGACCGTAACTTTATTAAAACAAATGAAGTTATCAGTTTTTATGGCGGTTTTTTGTTGAAGTCGACTGTCATGTTATTGTCCGCTTTTTTGTTGCTTTATAAGATTAAATGAACTCATGGTTCTGGCACGTTAATTAGGATGCACAGGGGGTAATAATCCCTACCTTGAGATGCAAGAACTCAAAAAAAAAATGCAAGATAATAACGTCAGCTAATAGGAATTGCACATAAATCATTAAAACTCGATCCATTTTAAATGTTCTTGTGGATGAAATAGTTCACGATCCACCTGGTTTAAATGGTTACAGAAGCAGATATCACATAAAGTCCGTCCCTGGGACATGTGTGAAAGTCTCAAGTGTAGCTTTTTCCTTAAAAGTATAGGTTGAAATAAACGGCTCCTTCGCCGAAGAAGATACAGGACCAAATTGTTAAAGATACAATAATACAATAAGTCACAATAATTCCCACTAGCTATTATGCAGATTACATATTTTGATCATGATGTTAATCCTTCGTTGCATAACTTGATACGAGTACTCTGGATCCATTTAAACTATTGGGACAATCAGGACTTTTTGGCGGGAACGCGAGGAGTGAAGTTGTGTGATTTGTTTTTGTTATTTTGTCTATTTAGTGTTTTTTCAGGCTTAAATGTGGAATAACGGTGGTTTATGAACCGCTTAATATCTTTGAAAGTGCACAAATGTGGGAAATTGAAACAAAGCCGCTGGACGTAACTTCTAGGGATTCTCCAAAAAAGCCACTGAAAAAATCTCAGCAAATATATCATCCCATATCATCTCATCTCATCTCAATCCCTTTAATTTCATCCCAGTTGATTAATGTCTCAAATTAATCATCTTCATTCCATTACATTTTATTCATTTCACTCCTTATTATAATTTTTCATAAAATAAGAATATAAATAAAAATAAGACATGACTTAAAGGTCTTAGTTACCATATCATAAAATCCCTCTAAAAAAAAATTAGGACACTCACTGCGTATACCAATGTGCACGATATATATTTTTTATTTGCAATCGTCTTTGTTTTATACTTTAAAAATACTTTCCTGAATCGATTGCATCGAAGAGAGAATTTTCCTGCATTCTCTCAAATCTCTTTCCACAAACGAACCCCACATTGATACTTTGCCAAAATTTAGTGACACATGCTTATAGTCGTTCTCGTAATTCCTTATAAAGAAATTAGTCAGTGTCATTTAAATACTGAGAATCACTGTAAAAACACAAATAATCTGTATGTAATAAGAAAAAATCGCGCGCAATTAAGAGATTTTTTTCAAGACACATCTGCTTTTTTATTGGACTATCGTCTTTGTTTCATTATTTAAAAGATTTTCTGTTTGTTAATTGTTATTTTGATGGGTCACCGACGGTTATAGACGTCAGTCATGCCATCAGTATTCCTCAAACCTCGTTTGAACAAAGACATGCCATAGCACTCACCAAACAGGAAGCTCATTCAAAAGCTACCTACATTGTACGTTGAAAAACAAATCCCTGAAAACGCAAATGTAGATGAACGCAGTGGCTTTGGCGTATGGGTTAACTCTGCTTCAGTGGCGGGCTGTGCGATGATTAATAAAAGATCAAGGGATCATCTGGAATAATTTCCCAGGGGAACATGCTGAAAACTTAACACATAGTAAACCAATATCCTTCCTCAAATCCATAAATTTCAAACAATACAATGAAAACGCCACCAACGTCATTCAGTTCATATTAGTTTTAAAAACTTCAAAAACTACAACGTCTTTTTTAGATAATATACACGCACACACACACACAAGTTATACTATTATTTGTTCTACCGCGTTGAGACGTGTCTAATACTTCGACGGCAAGAAAAAATGTTATATTATGTTTACTGCAATTCTTATTCAAAAAAATCCGTGAAATCTACACGTGAAAATTACTCACGTTCCGGCGTAATAAGGTTTCATAATGCCATACGTCTGGTTTGCGGCTCACCGAAAACGGGTCACGTTTAAACACGTGAGTCATACATCAATTAAGCGCTGTGAGATTAGCGAAAATTTGAAAATCCTTATTAAATTTGCTGAAATGCAAATTGACAGGTGTATTAAAATTGAAAAAAGAAAAACAGTTTAACAAACTTTCATTGGTAAGAATAATTGGAAGGAAGTGTACCTTAAGTGTATCCCAAAGCTAGATGCTTAAAGAGTTTACTGGTGGTAGTACCTCTTATGAGTATGAGGAGGTTTGAATGGTAGGGTAGCCATTGTACTGAGACCTTAGAACTCGTATCTCAAGGTGGGTGGCGGCATTTACGTTGTAGATGTCTATGGGCTCCAGTAACCACTTAACACCAGGTGAGCTGTGAGCTCGTCCACCCTTCTAAGCAATAAAAATAAAAAACATACAAACCCTTAAGCTTTGCGTTGTTAAGTGATATATCATTAAATCTATATTAAAAAAATGGAAGCTACTAATGATTACAGACTATAATTGTTTAATATCGCTAGTTTCTCAAGTGTAACTTGATTTATTACAGGGTTTCCGTCGGAGCAAGTATACCGAGGGTCAGCCATGTGGGAAACGCTTTTTGGCATGGTGCTAGCGTTTCCCATAGTTTGCTGGATCTTCGTCCCGGTCTACTACAGGCTATCAACTAATTCTGTTTATGAATATTTGGAGGTAATGAGCATTCATTGAGGCGCAATTCTTTGGGTAGATGCAACAAAGCTACCTCCGAATGATATTTAACAGATGTTACTTCTAAAAAAATAATACTGTTCAAGTTATGGTACAAAGAAGAGTATTGTGAAGTGTGGTACAGAAATCTCGTGTTTAAAATTAATCAATTCTAACATCATCAGATTATTAATTATTTGCTTCTGACGAGCGCTAGTTGAGCGTCCCAAAGGTTGGGATAGCTGTTATATTTACTATACGATTGAGACAAATCAGACTCAAAATGGGTTCATTTATTTAGTAACGCCAAAAAGCAACATATGGTAATTAAAGAAAAAACCGTACAAAGTTATTGAGATAGACAAGGTCATAAAATACACTTTTGCTATATCTTTGTTACAAGGCCACTTGCCTGGACTTTTAGAAAGGAGAAAACAAAAGGGAAGATTAATATTTAAATTTATTTGGTAATTTCCAGATGCGTTTCGGTTCGATTTGGGTTCGGCGCATAGCCGCAGCAACTTTTCTCCTCCGGCAAGTTTTGAATCTGGCCGTGACGGTCTACACTCCAACAGTGGCTCTTCATGCTGTGTTGGCACTGCCACATTGGGCGTCAGCAGCTGCACTGACTGTCGTTAGCATCGTTTTCAATTTACTCGGCGGGCTCGCAGCTGCTATTAGGTAAATAAACAGCTATACCAAAATGATATGGTACTCCCTTAGATTAGATTACCTTAGAACTTATATCTCAAGGTGGGTGACGCATTTACGTCGTAGATGTCTATGGGCTCCAGTAACCGCTTAACACCAGGTGGGCTGTGAGCTCGTCCACCCATCTAAGCATTAAAAAGAAATGTGGTAGGACCTCTTGTGAGTCCGCGCGGGTAGGTACCACCGCCCTGCCTATATCTGTCGTGAAGCAGTAATGCGTTTCGGTTTGAAGGATGGAGCGACCGTTGTAACTATACTGAGATCTTAGAACTTTATCTCAAGGTGGGTGGTGCTAGATGTCTATGGGCTTCAGTAACCACTTAACACCAAGCGGGCTGTGAGCTCGTTCACCCATCTAAGCAACAAAAAAAAATTACAAACAGCATCCAGTATTATAAAACTAGGATTCATCCGAGAACATGCTGTGTTCTCTGAATAAAAGCCGTTTCATATAAAAGTTTAATTCGTTTACAGAGCTGATGTCATTCAGACTTTGACCATGATACTCGTGAGTGGAGCTTTCATAGTTCAAGCGACAGTGAAAGCTGGTGGTCCGGCAACGGTGTTTAATGACAATCTAGAAGGCGGGAGACTTAAGTTTTTCCAGTAAGTAATTATACAGAATATTAAAACCTCTTAAGATTTTACTAATAATATTCATCTGTTGTAGGAGTATTTACTCTATAATTAATTATTTCCTCTTCCAAAATTCTTCGTCTCACCTGATTCCTGGATCCTAATTACAAGTTTAATTAACCGTGGTGGCACCCTTGCTTTGGTGAAAGGGTAGAATGTAAGCTCACATGGGTAGGTTCTACACCATGGCATACCCGTTATAAGACCTGTCGGTTTAAAGGGTCAAAACATCGTGCAATAAAATTAAGGCCTCATGTCTTAAGGTGAGCGCCGACATTCAAGTTAGGATGTCTCCGGTAACAACGGCCGTCTGGTGTAGTGGTGAGTGACATGGTCACTACATAAGGGGGTCGCGGGTTCGAATCCCGCCAAGGGAAGATATTTTTACGATAAATATAAATGTCTTTTCCAGAGTTATGGATGTATATTAAATATATGTATGTGTATAATAAAAATCTTACATTTATTTCCGTTATGTGGTACCTGTAACACAAGTTCTTTACGAACATATAACGGGACTAGTTAACGTGGCGTGATGGTTCGTAAATATTTATTAAAAAAAAAAAAAACTAACTAACACCTATCGTTCTCAAGTCACTGCAACTGCTACAACCTTGTTATCCTTTGTAACTTCTCCCCTAAATCCTGAATGGATCGTTAATTCCCAATAGACAGTATTGTGAACGGGTTGCTAGTAATGTCGTATCTGTTGCAAGCAAATATTCTTTTTATGGTGGAAATATTAATGTGATTGAATCTTTAACATTAAGAAGATTGGCTATGAGCTCGTCAATGCAAATAAACAAGCTTATGCAATTAAAAAATTAAGCTAAATACACTAATTGCATAAATAGAATTAATTTATGTTAATTTCTATTATTCCTAAAACTGGATGAGAACAAAATTAGAATTTAATTTAAATAAAACTTACGACAAAATATGATTCAATTTATATTAGCAAATGAGCTTTTCTTTATGGCATAAGGCTAGTCGTAAAGCATAATATGTATTGCTCTCCAAAATGCAAAATGGATATCGTAATTCATCTTAATATCCTCGCCATTTTATTGTGATTACATCGAAGTTTTCAATACATTACAGTTTTCGTGGTCACAAATAACTGTAAAAGTACTTTTAATTATGTCTACGACTCACAAAATCCGAGGAAAATATTAAACTAGAGATTTTTGTCATTTAGAATATTAGACACAAAACAAATTCATCCATCTAATTTATTTAATTATTCTCAATCGCAGATTCACGTGGGACCCGACCGTTAGAGTGGACACACTATCCGCCATTATCGGTCAGCTATTCATGTCGATATCCATCTATGGATGCCAGCAGACTTTTGTTCAGCGTTATTGCTCCATGTCCAGCGAATCCAGGGTCAAGAAAACTCTCCTGGCCAACGTTCCAGCCGTTTCGGTGCTATTCAGTTTGTCTTGGATCGTGGGCATGGCGCTATATGCTGTGTACAAATACTGTGATCCACTGGCCACAAGCAAAATTTCGGCCCCCGATGAAATCCTGCCGTTTTACGTGCAAGACCAATTTGGTTTTCTACCAGGGATGTTGGGACTGTTTCTGGGCAGTCTTTTCAATGGCGCTTTGAGGTGAGAATATATATCCTACATTATCTAATATATAAAATTCTCGTGTCACAGTTTTCGTTGCCATACTCCTCCGAAACGGCTTGACCGATTTTGATGAATTTTTTTGTGCTTATCCGGTATCTATGAGAATCGGCCAACATCTATTTTTCATCCCCCTAAATGTTAGGGGTAGTCCAACCCTAAATATTTTTTTTTAATTTTTAGACAAAATTTTTATTTTCTATTTTTTTATGATACAACATACAAAAATACATACAATCCTCAATTTTCACCCTTCTACGATCAACCCTTATTTTTTATTTGCTAATTACAAACTTTAATTTTTTTGGCAAGATTTTCATTTTTATTTTTATTTTGTCATGAATAAAATAAAAACTCTGATGATACTCTAAATTTTTCATCCCTCTATGATCAACCCCTATTTTTTATTTGTTAATTATAAACTTTAATTTTTTTGTGCAAGTTTTTATTTTGTTTTGTCATGACTTAAAATAAAAAAAAACATATTACTCTCAATTTTCACTCTTATACGATCAACCCCTATTTTTCCATCCTGATTAATATTTTTTTTATTCTATGCACAGATCCGCAATAAGGTTGCAAGATGGCAATCAAATATTATAATTGTAGTACGATAAATTCTTATTCAGAGTTTATAATTTCAAGTTCCTTTAATAATGATTTTTTTTAAAATTGAATTTGATCTCCCGCCCTCGCCGATCGACTACTGATCAACTATCAATCGATCAGATATCCCCGCCAGGAGTCACCACTCATCCAGCAAACATCACGTAGTAGGGATGAGGACGAAGCCGGTCTCCTGTCTTACTTTTTCTTTTTAAGAGATTTTATGACCTGGTAACTGAGACCTTTAAGTCATGTCTTATTTTAATTTATATATTATTCATATTTTTATGAAAAATGATATTATGGAGTGAAATGAAATGAAGATGATTAATTTGAGACACTAATCAACTGGGTTGAAATTAAATAAAATGAATTGAGATGATATGGGATGAAATATAATCTTAGTAAAATGGTGGTCATTTACTAAGATTTTTTCAGTGGACTTTTTGGAAGATCCCGAAAAGTTACGTCCAGCGGCTTTGTTTCATTTTCCCATATTTGTGCACTTTCACAGATAATAGACAGTTAATAAACCACCATTATTAAACATTTAACCCCGAAGAAACACTAAATAGACAAAATAAAACAAATCACACAACTTCACTCCTCGCGTTCCCGCCTAAAAGTCTCCTGTCTTACTCACTATACATCATAGATTATACACTTCATATATTTGAGAGCTATACAATACTATACATTTTTCAGCAATGTTTTTTTGGTTTTATTTGTGTATCAATAGTATGTTCAGTAGGTCTGAGAATCAGCTACTATCTATTTTTCATACCCCTAAGTGAAAAGGGTTGTCAGCCCCAAACATTTATTTTTAATTTTAATTTTTTGGATATATATTTTTTGTTTATAATGAGGTATTATGTGGTTAAATGAGGTTTTTTTTCTACAGTAGAATTTTCTTAGAAATCTTATTTAAGGCAACACAACGTTTGCCGGGACAGCTAGTAATTATATAGATAAATAAACCTAATTTATGTATTTTTAAGAGACAGTTACATCTGTCTATGCAGTTTGTAGAAAATTATGGTTAAAGTTGGGATTGAGCGGATTCTTGGTCCCGTTACAACTAATTGGGTTTTGATATGTAATGTGTATTGTATTGTGTAATAATAATCAAATCCGCAGAGCTATAATTAGTGTAATTACTGGTAGTAGGACGTCTTGTGAGTCCACACGGGTTGGTACCACCATCCTGACCCCGGTAACCGTACTCGTCGAACTCGACAAAGAGTTCGCCGTGAAACCTAACCCATGAATCAGCTCGCTGAGTTTCTCGCCGGATCTTCTCAGCGGGTCACGATTCCGATCCGGTAGTAGATTCATTCGCGAAGCAGCTGCTCTTGAGCTGTTAGGTCTCCTTCGGAGGCGCTCGGGTAGCTGTTAGCAAATCCCACCCCTCCTGGCTGAGCCTTTGCTCGCCCACCTGTCCTGGTGAAACTGGAAAGGCCTCCGGGCTACCAGTAATTCTTCAATCATAAAAAAAAAAACCACCATCCTGCTTATTTCTGCCGTGAATCACTAACGCGCTTCGATTTGAAGGGTGGAACAGTCGTTGTAATGTTAAAACTGAGACCTTAGATTTGTCTCAAGGTGGCCGTCGGCCATTACGTTGTAAATGTCTATGGGCCCCAGCACCAGCCCAGCCCCACTTAAAACCAGTTGGGCCGTCAGTTCCGCCACCCATCTAAGGAATAAAAAATATAAATAAAATTGAAGAGGAGGTGTAAACGCTGAGAGACATTAATTTCGTTTTTATTAATCAGTAGCATTTATGGTTATCTTGATTCAGATAGTAAAAAAAAACCAACTGACGAATAAAAAAATATAGTCTTGTTTACATTTTGTACTTTACACAATTTCTTTTCCAGTTTCCTGGTATCAAACGTTAATTCCTTATCCACAGTCACATGGGAGGATTTTGTGTCGGCTGCTCCATCTTTCAAAGGAATCAGTGATAAGCAACAACTTACTATCATTAAAATCATTGGGGTAATCTATTGTGAGTATCTTGCAGCCTGTTCCTATCAGAACTATTTTATTTATTTATTTCACAGTATTGTCCATGGAAAGCAATTGATATTTGGTAAAGGAAAAACAGTGACTTGATATGTTAACTTAATTCTGTCGAACTAGCTTATTTAACTGGATGTGGTCATACCACACTGAACAAACAGTACTTTCAAGATCTAAGTACAACAAAAACCTGTTCATTCACTGTCTCATTGGCCGGAAAACTGCTTGGCTTGTAAGATTAGAGCTAATAGAAAACAAGAGCATTGATGTTCATACTTTTTTTTTTTTTTATATATTGCGCGTTCCCCTGACGACAGGGGACATTTTTTAGGCTATTTTGCTATTTTTCCAATTATCTTTTTTTTTTTACTATTTGTAATGTTGATGTTCCCACTTGCCTTGATACCCTCCACGGTGTTTTCCGAGCGCTATGACATGTCCTTCAAACGAAGCTTGTGGAGAGTACTTAACGTTAGGCAGCGACTTGGCTCTGCCCCTGGTATTACTGAGCCCATAGGCGACGGTAAAAACTCACCATCAGGTCAGCACTGTGCTCGTCTGACTACAAGGGCAATCTTTATTATGATTCCAGCGGTCGTCATAATGTGCTTGTCTCTCTGCGTGGGGATGGCCGGTGGCGTAGTTGAAGGCTCCCTACTAGTGACGTCAGCCACGTCCGGAGCACTCTTAGGAGTGTTTGTCCTGGCGGCTCTATGTCCGGCTGCTAACGGTACGGGCGCGGTATGGGGAATGATCGCTTCGCACATTATAACGACCTGGATGGCAGTTGGAAGACTCTTGTATGTCAAAAAGAATATAGCCATGCTGCCTACTTCAGTCGAGGTTTGTTTATGTCTTATGATCTTTATATTCTCTTGTGGTGGGTTCAGCACCAGTATTATTGTAAGCTTCCACCACAGATAAGTACCGTTATTCTTTTTGTTTCTGTTACCTTTTTTTTTATTGCTTTGGTGGACGAGCTCACAGCCCACCTGGTGTCAAATGGTTACCGGAGCTCATAGACATCTACAACGTAATTGAGATATAAGTTCTAAGATCTCAGTATAGTTACAGTATAGTTTAGTAGTAGTATATAGTATAGTAAATTAGTTAACTAGACAAATGGAAAAGTCTGGAGGAGGCCTTCACCCTCACATAAGAGGGGTTCTTGTATGCCTGCACGCTAAATTAATATAACCTTTTTTATATCTTTTACTATAATTTTATGAACTTAAGCGATCCGACTAATATTATACACATTATATTAAGAATTCTATTATAATTAGTAACTATTATTATTAAGGTATTATTAAAAAAATATAAGTTTTGTAATGTCACTTTTTTTTTTAAATGCAAGAAATAAAAGGCTTTTTATTTTATTGTTTATTTATAGTTAACTAAAGCTTAGTGGTAGCGATTTTAAATCATGGACCGTGTCTTTGTTCATGCATTAATGGGATAACAAATATTATGCAGGATTCTCCACAATTTTAATAATCTATTTCACTTATTAGTTTAATTGTTAATTTTTTAGCTTGTCTATACCCGATACTACATAACTAGGTAGAGATAGTGTGTATGTAACTTTTTGTATCATAAACGGTAATTATAAAATTCCTGACGTAAAAAAATTAGCTTAAATGTTTTAGTGAAACGTCACATATTTCAGGGCTGCACGAACACAACACTCAATTACCTGAGTCGGCCTGTGGGCATCAACCAGACCCTGGCCAAACTAGCACCCCTGCTCCAATCTATGAACATCAGCCTAACAGAAATACGTCCACCGGAATCGTTCATGTAAGTATTCAGAACATTTATGTTTCCTCAGAGCTTCAGGAGAATTTTGGCGGAGTTCAGAACGGCCATAATTTTTTGGAACGAAGTTCCTTATGGAACGATGCGGAGGCGTACCCTAACCGGGAAAAAACGTTCGTAACGTAAGATTTTTATTAGTGATGCACACAGTGTCCGACTTAACTTTGTAATAACGTACAAAAAATGTAATAACATATTTTTTTATCATTCATTGACCGCGATCTCAGAGCGTCCGTTTGCGCAATACACTAACTCTTATGCAAACAACCGTGAATGAAGTGTACCACAATAAGTTCGCCCGTTACCGAATGACTGGATTTTTGCGAAACCTCCAGCTTTATTTTCTTTATACCTCGAATAGAACTAAAAAATTAATATTTTTATAATAAGGAACTTCGTTCCTAACCGGTGTCCCCCGACACCCCGCATCTTTTTTGTTAATTACGTTTTTAGAGCAATCACTATTTGTCCAATGACCGCAATAATATACATATGTGTATGTCATATTTATAACGATTTGTATGGCTTACTCTCGCGTTTTGACCATTACATTAGTCTGTGATCACGAAAACTGTTTATATCAACCGAAAACCGTATAAGTTATAGTATTTAATTTTAATTATTCTTATGACCCACAACAAAATATACAACAAATATCATGCTCTATAGAAACACTGTTACATTTTCAGTATGTCCAACCTTCACAAGATGTATTCAATCTCGTATATGTGGTACGCTGTTATCGGCACAGTCACCTGCGTGACGATAGGCGTGATCATCAGCCTTCTGACTTGGAAGGAAACGGACAGATACGACGAGAAGCTCCTACACCCGCTTGTCGCGAAACTGAGCAGGAAACTACCGGGCAGGATTCGTACGTTACCGATCGAGAAGTCTAATATAGAGGTGAAAGAGGACAAGGAAAGTTCAGAGAAGACTGACCAGACCATAGTGGATGCGAAGCCTGCGATTTTCGCCACTACCAGCAGCAGACTGTTTGAGGCTTACGAAGTCAGAAGATCGCCTTCTCCTGCTCGGACGCGTTTATGATCCTCGTTAAATACAGCTTTAAGATTTGCATTGTAAGATCTTGCTTGATAATAGCAGGATATTGGAATATGTTTGAAAGTCATATATATGCGTACTTAAATGTGTTTAGGAGTACATTTATATATGTTAGCAATTTATTGACATAGTATATTATATTATACTTAAATAGTATTGACTGCTGGACCGCCAAAGTCGTGGGTTCGATGTTCAATATCTTTATATGTTTATATTTAAGCGTATATTCTAAACTAAGTCCCAAAATAAGGTTCCCATGTCACTACATAGTATAAAACAAAGCCGCTTTCTCTGTCCCTATATTCCTATGTATGCTTAAATCTTTAAAACTACGCAACGGATTTTGATGCGGTTTTTTTTAATAGATAGAGTGATTGAAGAGGAAGGTTTATATGTATAATAAGATCCATTAAATAGTTAAGAAATAGTGTTATTTTTGAGGTTTCTAATGTGATGTCGTAGATAATCAATAATAAAATTTCATGTTTCCGAAGCGAAGCGATGGCGGGTCGTTAGTTACAGTATATAGTATAGTATATTCCATTCCCATAGTATAGGAAATCTTAGTTTATCCCAAACTCCCAAAATTAAATACACTATTCCCATAGTACAGGGAATCTTAGTTTGGGGACAGATGATCATGTTTGTTTCCGTATATTTATTAATTAATAAAGGTGATAATAATATAGCCTCCTCATGGACAGAATTAAGGAGACAATAAACGTAAAGACAGAGGGAAGTGATGTAGTAGTGTATTGAAATAAGTAGCTTAAGTTAACGTAAGTTTTGAAGCCAAAGCACGACTTTTATTAAATGTCTCATTGTTTACATAATATGTAGGTGTCGTACTTGATCTAGGTCTTCGGCTAGTTATCGAAATTTGACCGTATACACTGACACCACAAAGCTTAGATTCGTTTGATATTTCATTTTCTGATTTCACACTGTTTTTTTTTTTTAATATTGCGTTAAAACCCTTATTAATAACATTAAAACTTTGAAATATTCATGAAATAAAGAAAATTAAATCGTTTAACAAACAAAGGAGAACATGGTATCAAATTATTTTGTTTTTGTCTATATACAACTAGCAACAACATTATTTCTCGACTAAAGGCATGAGGTATTATCATTGTTTTAAAAAGTCCTCTAAAAGAACCTGTGCTTAGATTTTCTGGGGTTCGGTTTTCAGTAATCATTCTACCAACTGCTTAAAAATATCCTTAAATGTTGTAGCGGTAATTAGACTCATAGAGCAGAAGATATTTTGTAGATAACCTTGTATAATATATGTATATATATGTTCTGAACGGTAACATTAGAACTGTCTGTTCACATAACTAAATGTAACTACAGAAAATACATTTTAATTTACTGAAACTATCCTTGCATTTGTTCGTCAAATAGTGACTTTATGACTATTATTTTTTATTGTTGCTTGCAGACGATACGGTCCACATAATGGTAGGTTGTATCTGTCACTTGAGAACATCAGCCATGTCAGGGGCACAGCCAAGCCACCAGGCTCTGAGGGCTCTCCTCAAGCCTCGTTTGAAGAAGGACATGCCGCAGTGCTGGGACAAACTTTATTTAATTCTAAATAATATTACTACTATTAAATAAGATTAGATACTAAGTGTATTTCGTAAAGACAAACTTAATTTATATTTCCAATATTGTAAGGGTACTTGTATGTAGAAAAAATATATTATTTTTGTATATAATTATATAAGCGAAGTGAAATAAATACGATTTAAATTGAATTTGCCCAATTTGTTTTATTTATTTTTGTTTTAAAATAACCCTAACTCACACATTAACGTCGCCACTGTCCCATAGCGCATAATGCACGAGTATATTTAATTTTTGTTCTTAATCTACACGAATTTAATTCCCTTCGGTATCTAAGATTAAATATTATTACTACTGATTTTATTTATTTTTGATTTCCATTTACTACCGATTGCAAATGATTACGTCATGTTACTTTAATAATCTATATATTAATACGTGAAGCAAAAACTTTGTATCCCTTTTTACGTAAATTGCGCGGACGGAGGAGTATGAAATTTTCCACACTTATAGAGAATATAGAAGAGAAGTGCACAATGCTAATATTTTTTTTAAATAATGCATAAAAGATACATTAAATCAATAAAGAAAACATTACACACACTACATACCATGTATTTGACGCACACACGCATGCATACTATTTATTGTCAAACTTTTGTTCTTGACGTCTGTGGTCAAATTGAGAATAGATTAAATATTGTTTGTCTTTATTAATATTTTTTTATAGTGTAGCCTTGGCGAAATTTGTGATTATCTAATATATAAAATTCTCGTGTCACAGTTTTCGTTGCCATACTCCTCCGAAACGGCTTGACCGATTTTGATGAAATTTTTTGTGCTTATCTGGTATCTATGAGAATCAGCCAACATCTATTTTTCATCCCCCTAAATGTTAGGGGTAGTCCACCCCTAAATTTAATTTTTTATTTTTTAAACAAAATTTTTAATTTCTATTTTTTTATGATACAGCATACAAAAATACATACAACCCTAAATTTGCACCCCTCTACGATCAACCCTTATTTTTTATTTGCTAATTAAAAACTAAATTTTTTGCAAGATTTTTGTTTATATTTTGTCATGACTTAGAATAAAAAATTTCATATTGCTCTGAAATTTTCACCCCTGTACGATCAACCCCTATTTTTTATTTGTTAATTATAAATTTTAAATTTTTTGGTAAGATTTTATTTTTTATTTTGTCATGACTTAAAATAAAAAAATATATATTACTCTCAATTTTCACTCTTATACGATCAACCCCTATTTTTCCATCCCGATTTTTATTTTTTTTATTCTATGCACAGATCCGCAATAAGGTTGCAAGATGGCAATCAAATATTATAACTGTAGTACGATAAATTCTTATTCAGAGTTTATAATTTCAAGTTCCTTTAATTATGATTTTTTTTAAATTCAATTTGATCTCCTGCCCTCGCCGGTCGACTACTGATCAACTATCAATCGATCAGTTATCCCCGCCAGGTGTCACCACTCATCCAGCAAACATCACGTAGTAGGGATGAGGACGAAGCCGGTCTCCTGTCTTACTCACTATACATTTTTCAGCCATGTTTCTTTGGTTTTATTTGTGTATCAATAGTATGTTCAATAGGTCTGAGAATCGGCTACTATCTATATTTCATACCTCTAAGTGATAGGGGTTGTTCACCCCAAACATTATTTTTTTTTCGATAAAAGTTTTTGGTTAAAATGAGGTATAGTCCCCGGCACGTAACTTGGCAAGAGTCGCTAGATGCGCAGAAGTCGTTTTTTAGGTCTCTTTTGTTGTCAAGCGGGACGCGGGGAAAGACGAAGCACCGTTCCGAGCGCGCATTGGTGAGTCAGTCGACCCTCACCTCCCGCACCGCGTCCACGTTCCGTTCGCTCCCGGTTACACATGCGCCTACTAAAGTTGTAGGAACCCTTTGTTTATATTGAGTTTTTGTTACGAGTTGTTATTATTGTTTTAAATTTAGTTTTTGTTACGAGTGTTATTGTTTTAAATTTGTTTGCAATGGCAGGACTAAATACCAATGACCATAATTATAGTCGATTCAGTCATTGAGCGTTTTATTACTTACGCCAGTGACGACAGCGACTCTTCGTTATGTTGACGATGAGGAGCCAACTCCTTCCACCAGCTCAGGTGCTACCATAAATTTAATCCAAGGGGTAGCACTATTAGAAAATGATAGTGACGACGGCGACACATAATTTTTAATATTAAGTATATTTTGTTAAATAAACTTTTTAACTTTTAATTGTATTTTATTTATAACACCTAATACACTTCACGAATTCCTCTCTTTTCTTTAACTTTCTTCTAAGCACACAGGCTTAAAAATAAATTATGGCAAATAAAAAATTTAATAAAATAAACATATATGCGGGTAATAAAAGTGACCATTTTTTTGTTGAAATGTACACTATGCGCGGCATTACCCCCACTACACCAAAATCTTGCCAACTTACGTGCCGCTTACTATATGTGGTTGAATGAGGTTTTTAGAATTTTATATATTAGACTAGAATTTCCCTAGAAATCTTATTTAAGGCAACACAACGTTTGCCGGGTCAGCTAGTCTAATATATAAAATTCTCGTGTCACAGTTTTCGTTGCCATACTCCTCCGAAACGGCTTGACCGATTTTGATGAAATTTTTTGTGCTTATCCGGTATCTATGAGAATCGGCCAACATCTATTTTTCATCCCCCTAAATGTTAGGGGTAGTCCACCCCTAAATTTTTTTTTTTATTTTTTAGACAAAATTTTTAATTTCTATTTTTTTATGATACAACATACAAAAATACATACAATCCTCAATTTTCACCCCTCTACGATCAACCCCTATTTTTTATTTGCTAATTAAAAACTTTAATTTTTTTTGCGAAATTTTGTTTTTATTTTGTCATGACGTAGAATAAAAAAATTCATATTACTCTGAAATTTTCACCCCTCTACGATCAACCCCTATTTTTTATTTGTTAATTATAAACTTTAAATTTTTTGGTAAGATTTTATTTTTTATTTTGTCATGACTTAAAATAAAAAAATATATATTACTCTCAATTTTCACTCTTATACGATCAACCCCTATTTTTCCATCCCAATTTTTATTTTTTTTATTCTATGCACAGATCCGCAATAAGGTTGCAAGATGGCAATCAAATATTATAACTGTAGTACGATAAATTCTTATTCAGAGTTTATAATTTCAAGTTCCTTTAATTATGATTTTTTTTAAATTCAATTTGATCTCCTGCCCTCGCCGGTCGACTACTGATCAACTATCAATCGATCAGTTATCCCCGCCAGGTGTCACCACTCATCCAGCAAACATCACGTAGTAGGGATGAGGACGAAGCCGGTCTCCTGTCTTACTCACTATACATTTTTCAGCCATGTTTCTTTGGTTTTATTTGTGTATCAATAGTATGTTCAATAGGTCTGAGAATCGGCTACTATCTATATTTCATACCTCTAAGTGATAGGGGTTGTTCACCCCAAACATTATTTTTTTTTCGATAAAAGTTTTTGGTTAAAATGAGGTATAGTCCCCGGCACGTAACTTGGCAAGAGTCGCTAGATGCGCAGAAGTCGTTTTTTAGGTCTCTTTTGTTGTCAAGCGGGACGCGGGGAAAGACGAAGCACCGTTCCGAGCGCGCATTGGTGAGTCAGTCGACCCTCACCTCCCGCACCGCGTCCACGTTCCGTTCGCTCCCGGTTACACATGCGCCTACTAAAGTTGTAGGAACCCTTTGTTTATAT